TTTTTTTTTTGGTAGGTGTATGAGGAGTCAATAAAAACTGCGAAAAAGCTGCCAAATTCACCACAGTGAAGCGTGGTAATCACTGCTGTAAGCGAGAGAAATGTCAGGTGTCCAAGCCTGAAAAGAACAAATATCCAAATCCCCAAATTAAAAGCTGAATTAATTATCAGGAAATTAACATTTGATTAAATGAATAATAAGGTGCAGCACTCATTTTTCAGTTTGGCTCACACAGACCTGGATGGGGATAGCATATTTAATATTATCCTTATTATATTTTTACTTAGTTACAAGCATATATCCTGTAATGTAAGAGTAGGTCCTGAGATGATTTCTGTAAAGCTTTTTTAATATCTCATTCCCACTTGGAGCATGAGGATTTTCCATTAGTGTTGATGGAAAGGTGTTGAGTCATGGTCTCATTTAAAGTTGATGTGGACTCTGCGCACTGCGGTGTATTTGTATCTGAAAGTTTAAACAATGCTCTAGTGGTCCTTGTTAGTACATGCTGTATGCTTCCAGTTGGTATGCCAGATACTTTTTCCAAGGTTTTACTCTCAAATGCTAAGTTTAATTCTACTCTTAACAAAATGTTTTAAAACAAAACTAAAAGCAAAGAAGAAGAGCAGGCCTTGTTTCTTTCTTTTTGCAAATATTTTTTCAGTAATACCGAGGTGTCAGAGATGTCCTCATCGAGACGCAATGGCGTATTAGCTTCCAGCTTCCTGGTGTTGTGCAGCAGACAACCATAAGAACAGCCCGAGCTTGTGCAAACAGTGCACTCATGGGTGCTGGTGCTCACTGCTACTTGCTAATCAATGCAGAAACAGGCAATCGTGTGTCTGTACGGGGAAAGCAAGACCTCATGGTGGAGGCGCAACTGCTCACGGTTTGTCATAAAATTTTTTGGCTAAGCTTCTTCTTTGTAGTTTCCAAAGGGGAATGAAAGGTCACTCAGGTGAACTGAAGCTTAATGATCATTTCTGTGAGAGGGATTTCCAGCAACCACGCTGGGACGGCGTCTTTTTGCACATTGGAAATAAAAGATATCACTACTGGACACAAAATATCTCCAAGGTTCAGACGTTCATAATAAAAAGGATGCACTAGACCACCGTGTTACCCATGCAACACTGTAATGCATGCACCTGACACTGAGTACATAACCTTGTCTTTAACATATTGCAAAGCTACTATTAAACAAATGGACGGCTCCAGTTGTTCAGTGAAAGTAAATCCAGCAGAAAAAACATGCACCAAGTTAAAGTTTTCATATATTTTCAGTCCAAAGAGATGAATGTGTTCCCAGCATACTTTCAACTTATATGCTCACCGTTTTGTGCAATTTACACTTTTAATATAGGGGCACACCAGCGAAAAGTAAGGCTACTTTTAATTAGATAAAATTGCCATGGATTTCATGCCTGCACGCTACTACCAAGATGATGACTATGTAGCTAAATGACCACTAAACATATTGACTGGTAAGTTGTGGGAATTAAACTGGGACAGAAATGGGGGTGTAATTTCGTGAAAATCACAACTTTAATTAAAGGAATATTATATTGCACTTTAATGATTCAAGCTGGGTGTTTGATCAGTGTCATGGATTCAAAGTTGCACTCACATCTATGCATTTCTTGGTAAGAAATCAAAAGCAAACAAGTTTCTCTCATTCATTATGCCGAGAATGAAATGCCCCAAAGCCTGCTCATTTCCCTGCTTCACTAATCAGTAGCCATGGCACATTTCCCCTCTCTCTGCCACTTGTACTATATTGAAACTAATGGCTTGATTCCCCCTAAAAACAGTTTCTTCCTGTATATTCTTCGTGTTATCTTGCGTGTTGACTGGGTGATATGTCCATGCTCTGTCTCAGTGGATTTATTACTGCCTAGTCAGCAGGCAAGACACAATAATTTGTGCCGCTGGGAATGGCGCAGATGTATGAAAAAAAACGCACTCTCCCTAGATCCCATCTCTCAGCAAGGATTTTTTTTGTTCTGCTCAGTGAAGGTGGAAGGGCTTTAGCAGCTCCTCCTGACAGCGCCGTTCTCCCTACATTGAGCCGCCAGCTGTCCGTTCCTTTGATTAAGCTCTGCATTTTCAACTCCTCATTCACTGCCCTTTCTCTCTCGTATCTGCCCTTGTGCTGCATGGCCTCTAAAGTTTTACGTCATTTGAAAGAGATCTAATTGATATACC